GGAAGAAAGGTGATTTGAGCAATTTTAAATGTGGCATTGTTATTAGTCTCTCACAAACTGCACATCTACTTGGATTTTCCTGCACAACCAACCCTAGGCTTTACAGAGAATGGTCCAATGAGTGGCAGCTCTCTGGGCTACAATGCCTTGTTGATGCTAGAGGAAAATGACCAGTCTGATTTGAGCTCATAAGAAGCAAACAGTAATTGAAATAACCATTCATTAGAACCAAGGTACGCAAAAGAGCATCTCTGATTGTACCACAACAGGTTCCACTCCTGTCAGCTAAGGACAGGAAACGGATGCTGTAATTCGTACAGGCTCAAACAAATTCAACTACAGAAAACTGGGAAAATGTTGTCTTGTTAGTTTCTGCTGCAACATGTGGGTGGGAGTGTCAGAATTTGGCTAAACAATATAAAAACATGACCCCATATTGCCTAGTATCAACAATCCAGGCTGCTATTGGTGGTATGACTGTAGAAGGGATATTTTGCTCTTCTAGGTCTTCAGTACCCATTGAGAATCATATACAGTAAATGCCACAGCCTACTTGGTGTTGCTGACCATGTCCATCCTTTTATAACCACAATGTATTCATCTTTTCATGGGTGACTCCGACAGGATAATGTGCTATATCACAAATCTTAGGTCACAACTTTGGTCATGTTTCTAATATTTACATAATCAATAACGATACAAATGGGATGGATAATGTATTACAAACACCTCTCAGCAGAAAATGAATCAATTCAGCATTATTGAGAACTGTAGCCTTTAACTAGTTACTTCTCATTTACATTACATAGCTTTGATGTTTTATTTATTGGTTGTTCAAGTATTGTGCATATACACATTTAAATTATGTTTTTATTTATACATTATCCCAGTAATTAGTCATATTTTCAGTTTTAGAACGACACTGGTGGAATAGCCACTATTAATGCATATTGAATAGATTGAAATAGATACTGTGAAACAGTGGTTATTGGGTTTGCAACAAATTTACACCAAACCATCCCACCTGCCACTCTACATGCTTTGCAAAGTAAGAAGAAAAACTTGGCATGCCAGACTGAATTTTATCCGAGTGTAAACCCTATGGTTTTATGGTGTGCATATAAAATGTGCAAGAGCAACTGTTTTGTAACATCTTATTTCATTGAATTTTCATGCATTGTCTAGCCTGTTTCTCCTACTCTTTGTTCTGGCTCATTTATACTTAAAACAGTTCTATATCCAGGTACAACTGCTGAGGTAAAATTGTAATGATTTAAAATGTTTGACGTTCGCATTTCCGCAAATTATTTTTATGTAACTTGAGACTATGTAATAGATGCGAACATATATTTTGGTGTATATCACAGATGTTAAAGAAGTCCGCAGATCTCTGTAGCATACACATGGCCCATTCCATATGTGACTATGAAAGTTATTAACCTTCTTGACTATTTTCCAAGAAATGTAAATCAGAAATACAACATTAAAACCTAAAAACGCCAACAATGAAGCACTCTGTGAAATGGAAATGGAGGCCCTAGAAAACAATCATGTCATCTGTTCTGCTGCTCTTTGCCTCGTTCAGCTGATTGCAGTGAAAATCTGAGTAAATAACTGGTGTGAAGAAGCATTTCTCTGGAAATTCTACCACAAAGTGCAGTTAAATTCTCAAACTCTTATTCACGTCGTACATTTGGCAAAGCTTTTTGCCAGCTCTTTGGTGTGTACAATGTATGCAGATAGTAATGCGATATAGCAGTAGTCAGGGATTAAAATGCGTAAAGCCTTTAAATTACACATAAGCTGCAATGATCGTGACCAGCATTTGTTAAGTCATGGTTCTTTGTCTGTGTGCTTTTATTGTACTCCCAAATCAAGATGTTGTTTAAGAGCAAAAGCATTTGTAATTGTTCATTACAAAGTCAAATCATGGCCGTCTTTATGGGTTATTTACCAGGTTAAACTGATCTGCTGACACGTGGAAGCTCTTGCTGTGAAAATCACTTGATTGATTATAGAAGTGCTTCTAAATGTATCTCTGATTACCCCCAAGAGAGTTAAGGAGGATAAAAAAGTAGCATTTAACAGTAGCCCAAGGCAGCATTATTTTTATACCTTACTATAATAACTGTACCATACTGACAATTCAGGAGGGTTGAAATGTGCTTAATGACCCAGTCACACTTGTTTCTGCACATCAGTGGGCTGGGCAGAGATTGTGTTAGGGTCGCAGTGGCAGACTAGTACAGTCTGAAGTGCTTCCCTCATTAGCCACAAAAAGGGAAAAAGTGCACATCTGTCTTTGACTCACTCATCTTCCACTCATAAAAATCTAAAAACTCCCAAACAGAGTTTTTTAATGTAATAATTTCTCTAACAATAATAAGAAGAATAATCACCACTGTGAAAGTCTAAATGTCCTGCATGTGTGTGTACTACAGTACACCATTGCAATATACAATGCATCTGGAAAGTATTCATGGCATGTCGCTTGTTCCATATTTTGCCATGTGATGTTTTTCCAAAATGGATTAAATTTCCCACCACAAAATTCCAAAGACAATACCCTGTAAGTGAAACAAAAACACCTTGACAAAAAAACAAAATTATAACAGTCTTATACCTATAAGAGAATAACTTTAAGTATTCACAGCCTTTGCTCAATATTTTCTTGAAGCTCTTTTGGCAGCCATTACAGTCCATGTTTTTTTGAGTTTGGTGCACCAATTTTTGGGCAGTTGTGATAAAATCACAGAACAACGCCATTTCTCAGTGGTCCTTTGTTTCTAAATGTACTCAGTAGGTGATAAAGTTAATTTTACAAAGAATAATGGTGCATCAGAGTATCCAGGTACATTTACTCCAGTATAGATCTGTGGAACTGTGTGAAATATCGTAAAATGGTAAAATTAGATATTAGGTCACTTGTGAATTGTGAAAAAAAAAACATTGCTCCATGATGTTAGAGGTCAAAAATTCCACAGAGAACAATTAAAGGCAATCGGTACACACAATTTAAGATCAACCTCTACTATCTCTATAAAATTGCAGACTGTGAAGACGCAGCAATTTTAGTACCACTAGGGAGGTCAAGGGCAAGATAACGTGAAAGGTTCTTCTTAAAACAGATTGATCTCAGTAAACTGATATCATTATGTCACTGTTTGATTCTTCATCTGAAGCACTTGATCATGTTACTGAAGCAAAGCTCAGTAAAAATGGTCTCAAATTAATTTGAACATCTGGCAAAAATCACTTTCCTCAGTGCAATAGTGAGCAATATGGTGGTATAATTTCCAGTATCTCTTGATCATTTCCCATGATCCTATGATGTATTTAAATAGCTTTCTTGCCGTTCAAAAGCACTTCGTGGCTTTGTGATCATAGGCAGCAAACTAAGAGTTGCCTATGTAATCTGTCCAACTATTAAAAGAAACTGGTATTTGCTCCAAAACATATTTTTTCATACACATATGCTCATGTTTAGTAGTTTATTAGCCAATTTATTATTATTAGTAGTAGTAGTAGTATAAACTAATATAAACTATAGTAAGTAAAAATTACTTGATGAGTAAATCAATCCCGTAGCCGATTCTTTCTAATTTGCATTTGAAAATATTGCAGTCAAATCTGCAATATAAGAGAATTCAGAATCCATACAAAATTGGTATAATATCCCATTGTCACAACGCTATAAAGCTATAAAACACAGTAAAATCAGTTAAGTGGATGGTAGGATCCAATTTCATTTTATTTGTCACAGCAAAGTCTACAGATGTTTCATTTTTCTTTCATGTCACATTGCTGATAAGCAAAAAACAAAATATTAGAACTGTCTAGGGGTCTAAACACCCCTAAAGGCAGCTTTTACTGATGTTGCCATGTTGTTCTGATTCTTTCTATTGGAATATATTATTTGATTGTTTTTTTATTCATATAGAAAACAAACCAAATTGCAGATATCGTAGAGTCATATATTTTCAGTACGGCTAGAATGGTATTTGCAAGCTGAACCTTTTTTTAAGCTGTCTAAGGCATCAGCAGTAAGTGTTAGATGTTGTGTCAGAGCCTCAGAATCAAAGAGAAAGAACTTCTTTTTAGAGGCACTACTTTGCACAGATGTTGAACAACCCTGCAGAGAGAAATCCATCACAGAAGTTGCAGAGGAAGAGAGCCCAGATTCTCAAAGAGTGGAAGACATGGCAATCATGATTGCAAACATGATCAAAAACATTTATTTTATAAAACTGTATTTCAAAGTACTCGTTGAAATGAAAATGTTTACCCCAGTGCCAGTGTTTGTCCACCTTTGAGACAAACACGCTTTCCTCTGAGTCCCTGGGGATAATCTAATGGCTTTTGGCAAACACAGATAATCAAGAAAATCAAGAAAATCAAGATCCCACCTTTCTGTCTGTGTTTGATTAAAACACAGACAGAAAGGTGGGATCTTGATCATTTAATTAGAAAACATTCAAGTTACCTACAGATGTGTAAGAAAATAAAGGACAATCTTAATTGCGCACCCCTGTGGTGAGCCACTGTGGGAGAAAATTGCTGGGATGATCTCATTTTCCCTCCAATAGAGAACTTTTATATTGTTATGAGTGACCATAGTCAGCCAGGGTAAGTATTTATATCTTGAGAGTTGTCTACAAGGGTTACTGAATGGTTTGGTAAGGAAGAAAATTATGTAAAACAATAATGTAATTATGTAAACCATGGTCAAAGCAATCACAGGCTCTTAGCAGGAGATTTTTAATTCGACATTGCGAACGATAGCACTGTCAAGCCTCACTAATTTGAGATTTAAAATGGAAAAATAATATACACCAACAATGATATCATTATATTTGTTTAAATGCTACATTTTATAGCATTTTTATAGATAACTGTGTAGAGACAATGCAATTTTTCCCTTATATTTTTTTCTGTCTGTATATACCTTATGAATGTGTAGTGTGATCTATTCAGCTTTAGATAATATTTTGATGACTCACCTCTTGCTGTAAATCCTTGATGATTTTGGTTTTTTTCTCCATCTCCACTTTAAGAAATTTAATCTGAAAACAGGGAAGACAAAAAAAAAAGATAAAAAGATGATCACATAGAAAGTCCAGCTGTATGCATGTGTGCTTTTTTCCATCAGTGAACATATTTAATGACCGTTATGGATGATGAGTTTGCCTAGTGTATGTGTAATTAATTTCATTCAACAGATGCAATTCTGTATGTGAATAAAAGCCAAAGCCTATTTGTTCCTACTGACAACATCCTATAAATCTTGAAAAATAGGTCTCATATGCTTCATTTCGAATGAAATATAAAAAAAATAAATGTATTTTCTACATTTTTTAAAATCAAATAAATGCAAGCCAACGTTTTTTTCCCACTTTCTACCAAGACATCCTGGGGAACTGTAAACTAGACCACAGCAGGTGACTCACATCTCCAACCTGACCATGATAACATCAATATTCAATCATTGTCACTGTCCCTGAGAAGACTTAGAAAAAAGACATACATACACAGAACAGAGAAGGAAAGAACATTCTGGTTGACTAATTATGCCTCTGAATAAAATTAATTTTCACACGTCATCCATGCTTCTATGCAACAGCACACTGACTGTTTCTGAATATTCCAGTGCGAGCATTAAAAAATCGACTTAGCTTCCAGTTAAACTATATGGAAAGGCAACATAAACACCGTACCTTACCATAAACTGATGCAATTAGATATAAAATGATAGTAGCAGAGGGGCGCTATAAGTTAGTAGTTACATTTAAAATCACAAATTCTCTCTCTCTCTCTTTTTTTTTTTAGCTTTTTAGTCAGCCACAAAGGCCTGAAGACCTTTAAACTCTGACAAAAAAAACATATTACATTCTTCTTGTGCTTTGCAGAATTAGGCATAACAAGTGATCATCAAGAGCTTGGTGTGTCTTTCATTTTTCAGTTAAAATTAGAGTGTGCCTGTGGCATGTGTGTTTGTGTGTGTGGTTGTACGGACTTGTAGCCATACAGAGGTTGAAAAACCAACCAGCAAACTGCTGCCATGGGCTACTATATATCTAAGCGAATGAATTCAGTGTGTAAGATAGATAGGTTACGGTTTTGTCTTTGAGTTTTCAACTCTAAAGAAAAAGGTTTTAGCAAAATGCGTCCTTGAAAGAGGTCATCAACATAGTCCTGAGGACAAAGACGAAAAGATTCATGGGTCTGGTGCCCTCATGTCAGGTACATACCCTGGGGAACAGTAAAATAAGCCTCACCAGTTGACTCACATCCCCTAACAGGGCATGATAACATCAAGGTTCATGTCTGAGGCTTGCAGTCACCACCAATGCCCCCAGGAATGGTTAAAAAAAGTTTAAAAAAAAAAGAAAAGAAAAACAACTTCTACAGTGCTTAGGTATTAGGATAAGGGAGTACAAGTCGGTTATATTTCTATCTATCTATCTATCTATCTATCTATCTATCTATCTATCAATACATATATACATATGAAATAGTATTTCAAATGTAACCAAATATTAATAACAATAATAACAATTGATAATAATTAGTCATTGTAATATTTGTAGCTAAAATATTTCATAAGATATATCTGATATCTCTCTGCTTATGGCAAAATACTGTCTGATGTTGAGATTGGCTTGAATGTAATTACCCATATCTGTCAACAAATATTTAGCAACTTTGTAATGTGTGTTTTTTTGTGATTTTGCAAGGTATATGCTTCTCCTTATGCTTTTATTTTTCACTAGGAACTTTTAGACGCCATGTTTTCTACTCGATAGATTATTTCATTGTTTTGTTGAACATGTGTAGCTTTTACATCCTGCTGAGGTGCTATTTTGAATCTTAAATCTTAGAAAGTGGGATACATATAATTTTTCAGAATGTAAATGTCAAACCACAAAAACTAGAAACTGGGATTTGTCACCAGGCAAAGGAAAATGGCACACACGTCATTGGAAATGTTACTGTACTTTTGTTTATCTCGCTGAGAGTCCATGATTTGATTGTCGATTGTAATGTCACGGTGCCCATTAAACGCTGTGACTGTGCATAAGAAGCCTGCACTGTTACAGGCCAGATTTTCATTAGCATATATTGAAAGTCCTAGAAGCATTCCAGTACTGTAGCTGTCAGTGCAGCTAGACAGGATTTATGCTGATTTGTTGATAAGGAGTAAGTGGAGGAACAAGAGAGGGTTTCTCAGAACAGTATGAGAGTAGAAATGTGGGCCAATACAGTGTATTAATGCAGCATCACCGCCGATGCCAAAATACATTTTTTAATCTGAATTCTACAAAAAGCCTCTCAGAGCAAGCACATTAAAATGAGTACTTATACTCATCATGATGAAGAAATTAAAGTTTGTCTTAAATTAAGGCTGCTTTCAACCTTACCTGATACCAAATGCAGTAAAGCTGCTGAAACTAAATATAGAATTCTCCACTGTGTAATAATTTAAAGGTGTAAATACTCATTGCTTCTCATATTGTTTGGTAGCAAAGAAACATTATTTGAACTCCTTAGAGGTGCATTTCTTTTAATTGGTTCAGTAATTAAAATATTGTGATTTTATTAAAACTGGAGTTAACAGAAATTATGTTTTCCACTGACACCAAAAACCTCTTTATCATTAAAATGTAATTAATTTTCACGTATCTTGTAACACATGTTGCATGCTTCCATGGTTTGCATGTATATTTTAAATAATCACAAAATTAAACATGCTTTTGTTGTGTTTTGAACTAAAATAGGCATATTTTGCATCTTCTGTAACATTGGCAATTAAAGCAGAGTATCATCTGCATATGTTGTTATCTAACATGATGCTGAAAATTATTTGTTTATTTAGTAATTAACAGAAAACTAATCACTTCCAATTTAGATAATCAGCTGATGATAATAATTTTAGACCTTTGCTTACTTATTTTTTTAAATGATAAAATAGTAAACTTGCCACCTTTGAACTCTGGACTTCTGTTCAAACAAAATAATAGCTGACACAAAGCTTTTGTTCACTCTGAAAGTTTCAATTATATGGTGAAGGATAGAGGCGGGAGCTTGCTGCTGGGTAATGAGTGTGGATCAGTGAAGGCCCCGTGTGACAGGTGACAATGCTGGTTAGACAAGACCGGATGTTGATGGTCAGGTCAGCTCTGTCTTACCGTGGCCTGCTGCTTCTCCGCTTTCTCATTTGCCTCATCCAGCTGCTTCTGCAAGGCTGCCTGGAGGGACTTCATCTCCTCTCTGTCAAGCGAAAGGGAAGTGAGAAACACTCTGTTAGTACTTCCTCTTCACATTTTCAGATGCCTTGACTGCTCTACCACAGAATGGCCTTCTTAGATATATCACTCTTAAAAGCAATTTTTTTGGACAGAAGTAAATTTTACTAATGTCTTTGTAATCAGTTGGATGATTTTTATTATGAATCTATGAGCAGGATATGAACAAATTCATTAATTTGAATCAAAAGGAAATATTTTGTTTACAAACATATTTTTAAAAGATAAAAACATAATTAGCTTAATTTGTGAATGGATGATGCAATAATGGGCCATGTAACTGCAATTAGGGTGGAAACGATGTTGGCATTTGTTAACCGGTTCACACTTTGGTTCATAGCAGCCACACATCTTTCTTCGATCCTAAACAATTTCACATGTATTATCATTTAATGATTTTGTTTGAATTTAAAAGGCCTGACTACAGTCAATTTAATTTTCTATGTATATGATCTATAAATGTAGAGTTTAGCAAACACTCCCATGGAGCCAACAGCAAGAGATGGCTGATAGGTTCAAGGAGAAAGACGAGATACAAGAAGACCAAGTTTGCTGCAATGCACTGCACTGCTATATTGCTTCTTGCAGTGTATTAAAATTCCCTGAATTTTGATATGGTTCATGTGGTGTGATGACTAATGCAGAATGAATTATGTGTTTAACATAAAATTAAACTTTTATGCATTCGACTGTAATTTGTAATTCAGTATAGTTTGGTGCTCCTGAGCACAGATAACAGAGAATTATAAATCAAGGAGGCAGGGGATGTGGGTCAGTGGTACCAAAAACGCTTGTATCACATCACAAGGTAGCCCAGTTAAAATTATAAGTAACAGCCTATTTACTGTTTCCAAGCATGGCTGAAGTATATGACGTATGTCACAGTCACCCAGTAGTGTAGTTAGGGGACATTATCTTTCAAGGCAGTACAGCAACACTCAGAGTGGAAAGGATGTCACTGCTCAGCAGTCATATACTGTTATACTTTATATGCCAGTGGTCTTGTCTCTTGGCATAAGTTCAACCTAAAAAACATTTTTCTTCACAGTGACCAACCAACCACCCCTGCTTTGGTTTTCCATTTATATTCACATCTCCTGCTTCCAATACTTGGAAGAGTTTGTACATAATATATCAAAACTGTCTAAACTGCCAAAAGAGAGACAGTCAATGTGACACAGGCTTGAAGAGTCTGTAATAAGTAAATACAAAAAGGGATGAAAGTAAGTTAAGCTATTTTAATTGCTATTTAAAAACTGTTACATTTTTACCAATAATCTTTTTTTTTGCATTGCTCTTTGGATCAAAATTATTTTCAGGAGCCAATCAAATTTCTGTTAAGACTTGACAAAAGTAAATGACCTGCAATGAATCACCTGTCTCCACTCACGATAATGGAGCCAGCTGGTAATCACACTTGGCAGACACTGGAACTCTAAAGGTGGATTAATAACACATTGAAAAAGTTGTGGCTCACAAATGCTAGGTAGGCAACACTGAGCCAAGCTACTGATTTGATTTGCTTTATAGTTTTTTAGCTTGATGACATGTGAGAGCTGCCATGGACTTCTGATAGGCTATTGATTGGCTATCCAGATACTACACACACACACAGCTGGACTTCAGTCAGGCTGACATTTCAGGGAGGATGAAGGCCATGAATGACTCCAAATCATTAGCAGTCTCATTACACACAACATTAATCAGACAGTCCTAACTGGTAAAGCACTTAAGCTAAACACTTTTTCAGCTCACTAAAAAAAAAAAAGGTCTAAATCACAGATGCTTGCTTTTTCGCAAAATGAAAACAGGCATATCAATTTTAAATACACAAGACAGGTTTGCGATGGAATTATGAATTATCTACCTGCTCCTGTGTGTACTGGAGACACACTGGCCAACACCTGAAAAGTACCATCCTCAATAACAATGAGCAAGTCATTACTTATCATTATTTATATCCATTAGATACCTGATGGACATGATGTGATTATGCAGACACCATTTTTTAAATCTTCATATGACAATACAAGCAGTGTTTTGTTCAAATGAGAGAATTCTGTTTTTCTTATCAATTATATTCACCAGTAAATATTATGCAGTGTGTAAAGACACTGCAAAACTTAACGTGAAAGAATCGCATCACCAAAAGACTCTACAGGTCTATGCAACAACAACCAGTTTGCATTCCTCTCGCCTCTTGGACCACTGTGTGATTGAAGTGTTTTTTGATTTCAGACAGTTCGGTGGACTGAATATTGTACAACTAGCTGTTGGAATGCGTTTGAATTTCCCAGGGCTTATCGTCATTGCTGCTGTTGCTGTTGGTTTCTATCATCAGCTCATGTAGAAGTCATCCAAATAACTGGGTGTGAATTAATGGTTCTACACCATCCACTGCGCATCAAACTGGACACACCTGAGCTCAGAAGCCACAAGGACAGATACAGAAACTCTTTACCAATTAATACCAGATATTCGTATATATTCATTTTAGATTTAAGACCCTGACTGTATGATATTTAGATTTATTTATTTATTTTTACCCTGGTGTGTTTTCTATTTAATCGAGCTCCTTGTCTAATATATATTTTTTTTCTTTTCCAAGCTATTTTGTTCTGTGGTGTTGTGTTTATTGAGCTATGTTGTTTTTCATGTGCTGGCAGCTGAAACACAGCAATTTCACAAGCTTTGGGATAAATAAAGTATTTCTTATTCTTAATGTTATTACTCTTATTTCAGCAGAGAAAATGTGCTGGCATGTCATGTTGGCATGGCGGGTGGCTCAGATGATTACTATACTCATAAGCTTTTGTGGGTGCTGTTGCTAAGGAAGAGCAACTAGTCACACAAACAAATCCAAATGAAAGCTATTTAAACTCTTTGTGGTTGAAATTCATGAACAAAACAAATCTCAGTTGTTGAAGTTCACTCCAAGTCCAGGATTGAAAAGCAAATTGGTTGTCAGTTTTCTCAGAACTGTAAAATTTGGTTTGCACAACTACATGTAACAGAATCTGAGGATGTCACTAGATGATTAAGACTGAAACGCGGTGTAATCGTGGACATGCTTTTGCAGCAAGAACATTAGGAATGTATCTGTGAGCTATGAATAACCAATGGATCCTTACCACCCTTTTTATCTTATATCTTCATCAAAAGCTTCTCCTATATTTTCAAATACACTTGAAAACAAATAAAAATAAATAATAAACAAGAACCTGTTATTATCTTGTTAATCTGAATACCAGCTTAATACAAGACATTCACGAGAGGTTCGCAACCAGAGCATAACAGGAGACAGCGCATGATTTTATTTATCATTATGCATTTTTTACTGATGGTTATTAATTTCTAACCTAATTTTTGATGGCAGTTTAGTGAACTGCACAGCACTGTTGGTAGCTCATGTCTAAGTCATGCATGATGCCCCACTTTACCTCTGTTTGTGGCTCAGCTCCAAAATCCTCTGCACATCTTTCTTGGCTACTGTGTCATCATTTTTCAGCGACTGAAAGAGAACAGAGACACTGTGTTTTTCCAGGAATGGCACAATTTGTTGTTGTACATGAAAAACTTCTGAAGGAAAATTACTTCATATCACCATCAACAGAAAATGGAAACAAATATACAGTATAAAAAAGCACGTGTAAGCATTTACTGTATGCGTTTACTGTTTGCTGTGACATTACACATTACAGAATCTTACCAGGTTTTCTGAGGTGTCTGTTAGAAAACGATGCAGCAGATGTAAAATGTTCAGACACCCCTATCCCTCCTCCCAAATTATATGGCTTTCAACAGTCTGCTGATGAATGTCCTAATGAGGGTACATGCAGAAGCACAGATTGGGTTCTACTGGTGCCTCAGCACCTGCCTGATGGGTAATTATGAATTAGTCAGGTCTCTGATTGCCCTACAAGCCCTCCAAGATATTTTTATTTGTTATGAACAGAACAGAAATGTACAGACTTGTAAGAAAATGTGGACTCCAAGGGAGAGATAGTTTATCTTTGCTTGTGCTTGAAGGTGATATCTATGGCAATTAACGCCACATTTCCATAATGCCTGAAACAAGCTCCTCCCCAGCGCCCGACTCCCATTTCATGTTAATCTATGAAGAGAAATAAAGAAAAAAAAAGAGGGAACAGCATCTGCTTACAAGAGGCAATGTATCTGCACTCAAGTAAATAAACTAATGGTGTAATAAAGCTGCACATTTAGTATATCTGAGTGGCATTTCAGTCATTTGTATGATTTGTCAAAAAGTCACGAGCTGAATGGACAGATTTAAATTCTTCAAATTTGGTTTGTTTTCTATTTATTTTGACTTCATGTTTTGTTGTATTCAAAATCAAATGGCAACATGTGTTTTGCTTTATTGTAATAATAACAAACACTCATCAGCTACTTAGATACACCTGATGAACTGCTTGTTAAAGGTACTTTAAAGGCATGCAGACATGTTCAGGATGACCTGCTTAAATTCAAACTGAGTGTCAGTGAATGTGGCATTGCTATTAAATCCACATGGGTTGGTCTGAGTATCCAAAACTGCTGATCTACTGGAATCTTCCACAGAACCAACTCTAGGGTTTACAGCAAATCGTCCAAAAAAGAGCAAATATCCAGTTAGCGGCAGTTATCTGGATGAAAATGTTTTGTTGATGCCAGAAGTCAGAGGAGAATGGCCACTTCTTTAAGCTGATAGTTTGATAGATAAATGAAATAACCTTATTATAGGCAATGTATGAAGAAGCGATCTCTCACAACAACTGAAAACATCATAAAATAAATATTACAAAGCTTTATGGACCTGTCATGGAAGCCATGTATTTACAGTATGGTTTCACAGGTATGTGCCAATATTTAATAAAAGATACAGCACAGTAACACTGTTTTTAACTGTTTGAATTCATAGTCTAATACCGATCTCTCTCGGGTGGATTGCTTTAAAGCAAATGGGCTACAGCAGACACCACATCGGGTACCACTCCTGCCAGCTGCGAACAGGGACCCAAAACTGAACAATGGAAGAAAAATGGAAAAATGTTGCTTTTTCTGAGAAATCTAGATTTCTGCTGCAACATTCCAGTATGAAAACATGGCTCCATTCAACCACCCATGCTGCTGCTAGTGGTTTAATGGGGTTTCTTTGCACACTTTGGGCGTTTGAGCATCGTTTCACACTACAAACCACATGAGCATTGTTGTTGACCATGTCCATCCCTTACTGACTACAGTGTTCCCATTTTCTGATGGCTGCTTCTAGCAGATTAACACAGCATGTCACAAAGCTCAAATCATCTCAAACTGGCTTCTTTCACATGATCAGTTTACTGTACTGACATGGGCTCCACAGGCACCAGATCTCAGTCCAATAGAGGACACTTTGAACAGGAAATTTGCATCATGGACGAGGAATGTTTCCAGCACCTTGTTGAATCGATGCCACAGAGAATTAAGACAGTTCTGAAGGCAAAAGAGAGACTGGCCGTAACACATGAAGTGGCTGGTGAGTATATGCAGTGCCTTTCTAATTTCCTAGTTTTCTGTGTTTATTTTTTACAGTTTTGTCAGACTTGGAGTTTCAGGTCATTAAAATGATTTTAATATTAGACAGCAATAGCCCATGTAGTCACAAAATGCTGTTTTTTAAATGATAAATGGTCAGTCGACCAAAATTACTCCAAGAGCACATTGATGACTCAGGTCCCGTAAGAACAACCATTCTAAAAAATGTTTTTATTTGTGGAGAAAAAGAATAGTTAGTATTCAGTAATCGACTCTATAACACAAACAACAATAAAAATCACTGAAAGACGTTAGTGTGGCAGCTACAAAATGGGCTTACATTGCGTTAAATGTGCAAATCCTCTCAAGTTATGTGGTCACGACATTAAGTTTAAACAACAAAGCAGCTACTTAAAGCCCACAGTTAACTGCTTCTTAACGTCCCTGGAGCTGCAGCAAAGACTAAAGTCCCAATCACAATAGGTTTAATTATTAGGGTTACCGAAATGCACCTAGAGAGCAGCTCATTATGTTTCAAAACACTTCACATGGGCCATCATTTCTTTCCAGAAACATTAAATGTTTTATCTTGTTGACTTGATCTCTTTTAAATGTTGATGATGTTTTCCCCCTTGAAGAATAGATTTTTTCCACTACACAGAAATTGGAATCCAACACAACCTCTGCCCTGCCCAGCACGCTGGCACAGGGCCCACGGCGAAGATTGATGCCAAACTAGCTAGCCTGGAGTGAGTAGACATCAAAGCCTGCCCCAGGGAATAGTTGTAGACAGACTACATGAGCTTTTTCCAGACACATGGGACATCTCTTGCAAACACAAACCACTGATGGAAAACTGGCCATATAATTCGTTTGATTATTGACTTTCTGACTATTCCAGTAGACAACAAATTGGCCTAAAGCGGCAAAACGCTGCTGCACAGACGAAGTATCACTCAGACAGCAACTTTATAAGTGCTGGATAGAAAAAGATGGGCATCTGGCTCCCAAGACCTAAGCATCCAAGTGGGAGGCATGTTTTGTTGGACTGCATATCCTGATGCGACTGAAAAATACCAAGTGATTAAAATATCTGAATTTATAACTGACTTTTTTCTTGTTACTGCCAGAAGCCATAATGAAGTTGACCTAAACTGACTGGTAAGAAGTGCTTTACAGCATCCAGCACTGTGGTAATTGTGTTCTCACAGCATTATAACATCTACTGTCCAGGATAATAAGGTACGTGAAATGTTCGAGACTGTTATTTGGCAGAACCAACTGATACCTGTCTTTGCGACAAACCAAATAATCCTCATAGTCACTCAAAGTTGTCTTATGAGCTAATTTAAAAAAAGAAACTTTCTTACTTCATGCAAACCACCCTCACTGCAGGAGGTGTGATATATATTTCACAACCTTGTTTTCAAGCCAAAATTTAATTAGGGCAAGCATCCTCTAAACTTTAGACACACACACACACACGCACACATCTCTATCTAGATAAATAGATAGATAGATTTTAATTAGTTGTCAGACCAATTTATTGCCTGTAAATGAGTGAGCAGTTTTACCATATTGTGTAGCTTTTAGTCTTTACTGGATAGGTAGAAGTGAGTTCTCACAACTACAAAACATAGGTCAAAGTTTCATATTTAAGTTGTGACAACATGTAAGAAATTTGAATCCTTTTGTTCTTTGCTACTATAAATTGAAGTAGCCTGTGGATTTTTTCCTGTATGAACATCTGATTGAACATTTAACCTACACAGTGTCACTGCAGTGATATCAACGCTAATAAAAAAAATTACTGTACTTAAAGTTTTAGTAAATGTCATTTGAGGAGATTATCAGTGACAGCTAAAGGTCCTGAGAAGAGAATGGGACCATGCTGAATCCATCCTTATGTTGAAATTTCCCGATAATGTTGGATTTCTGGTCGTCTACTTCTAAGCCCTGGATTTTTATTCATACCAAAAAATGACTTACCCAGTCTGCGCTCTACATTTACATTGTTCAGCAGCTGTAGAAACACTAACAAATCACGTATGTAACAATGGGTGGGCTTGTTGAACTTAAAAACATTTTTACCTTAATATTTAACAACAGGTTTACTGCAAATTCACTAAAAATGTGTGCAAGGACTCATGAATCCAGCCTTCAAACGGCTGAAAACAGGGATTAGAAAATGACTGAACCCGCGGAGCAAAATTCACAGCCGAATAAACTTTCAAACATTGCAAAGAAAAAAAGAGAAACAGTAAAAGTTCAACCTGAAGGTTGCCTTTTATGCTGTCCAGTTCCTTTGAAGTCTTGGAGAGCTGGTGCAGAATGCTGCTTCGTTCAGTGAAGACTTCCTTTAGCTTCTTTTCCAGCCCATCGTAACTTTGTCTGTTGAGAGAATGAAGGAATGAAATTTCACTATTAAGTGTCTGCCACTAGCTAAAAAAATCCACTCTTTATTGGCACCCTTAGGAGAACGAGGTGTTTCAACCAGATTAAGAGCACCATCGTTAAAGCTAAAGGGTAGAGCAAAAAGAGAGAAACCTAATATCTACTCGGCACAGTCTACGACAGAAAGATGGGGGAAAAAATCTATTCCTTTCAATCAACCAATTTAGTGAAGGCTCATTTTACAGAGATAGGTCTTTTGACCAGAGGTATAACCCTGCATTTCCATTTAAATATTCATGTAGTCCAACCAATTATTAAGGAACAAATTCTGCAGGGCACATTTGTCAAATCCTGTGTTTCCCTTTTCCAAACTCTATTGAACGGCAGTGCAGAGGCGTTCTTGTCATTTGTTACTGAGCTTCCAGATAGGCAAATAATATTTCACAGCATGTTTGCATGAACTATAGCCCTAATAAAGATATTATTTTTCATTCTTAATGACACACTATAATCCCCACTGAGAGATCTACTAAAGATCAGGGCACAAAAAAGTGATTAGGGGGCCATGGTGAGCAGATACAAAATCAGCAATAGCCCAGGACTTGACTAAAATATGATGTATTATATTTGGCTTTTGACAGCTAAAGATAACAACATAATTTCCATCTTGCTCCCTTAATTGAGTTAAAAGACTTCCAATTTACTACACGTGCACTTTCACTGTTGGAAAACAATCTAATAACGGAAAATCTATTTTTCATTTAATCTAACATCCTTGTTTACTGACTCAAGGAGACAACTCTTCTGGGAGGTGTTTGAAATTAAGCATATCTGAATGTAGTTACCCTGCAAATAAAATAGCCCAGAGGTTCTAATTTCCCCTAAAGCCTGCAAATTTGATTACTGTGATGACCTCTTGAATTTAATTGGGATGGTTTAAAATAGCAGTCACAAAATAGCCCATCCGCCGTACCTCTGGACTTTGGATAGGTGCTGTAAAAAAATACACACACACGGACACATTATATACACATATATACTTTTAACATGTTTTTTCCACTTTTGTGGAGCAAACTCTCCCAGGGACCCCCTCATAGCCCTAACATCTATTTCTCTTGACTTAGCATGTCTACAGCATGGGCTGTCTCAAACACTTCTCCATGCGTACCAGTTAGACTCAAGTTATGCAGCAGTAGCAGCAGTAATGGTTCCTTGGACCCTGAGAGAAATGAGTGATTTGTAATCATATTGACATAATGTGTCACCATAATATTAGAGCTGAGGCTCAAAGATAATGTATGAGGCAGTAATGCGCACAGCATGCTTGATTTATTGGTATTAATGATCCCAATCTGTATATCTGCACTGTTTTTGTGATACAGTACAATTTAAGAATTTCTGACAAATTTTGGGTCAAAGATCAACTTTATTCCAACAACATGAAAAAAATGAAAAAGGAAGAGAGATGGGGAAAAAAAAAGTTTGGATGGCATTTTTTTTTCTTGATGCATTTCATGAGATAGGGTTACTAGGAAATAAAACCAAGTTAAATATCTGAACCATCATATGGAGAAGAAAAGAAACAACCCTAACACTGTTAAAAAAGATATTTACTTTTTCCATGGCACAACTGAAAAGACCAAAAGAACTTTCTCTGCTCACTTCCTTCCATTATCAGAAATGCTGAAGGACAGCACAAGCATATGAACTTAACCTAGATGTTTAACTTAACATAGATATTTGTTGCTAAATACTTGCTGGGTAGCCACAAATCTTCTCACTTGCCCTTCTCTCTTTACATGAATCACTACTACAAAATGTTGCTGACCATTCCCTATTCCTGACCGTCCTAGCATCACTCGACTGCTACAATATTCTGTACCCATGGCTGTGTTTCAACTCGGGCCGTCTTCCAAAAAACCCTCCACAACCCATGTCATAGATCCCAGACGGAGATCACACACAATAACACATAAATCACTAACAGAAAAGCAACACCTGGGAAATAAATAAACAACATGGCATATTGAATCCCACACATGACTTGGTACCATATGGCAATGGCAGGAAATTTATTACAGGTTCAAGCAACAAGAGGAAGATGGGGTGAGCGAGCCCTCCCTGTCTGCCATAATATTCATTACCCAATGGAATAGACCCTTGGGTAGCTGTGAAATGAATAAGACCCATAATTTGAGGCCCATTGATGCAGAAACATGTATATTACAAGCTTCTGAGATGAAGTCTGATTATTTTTCTTCCCAATCTACTATAAACTGCTCATTAGAGAAAACAAATGGTAACAGCTGCATGATTGTACCATGACCTCCCAAGAGTTCAGTGTTCTAGCCGGGTTCTGTGAAACAAAGATCGCCCTTTTTTGCAATTCAGTGACGTTAATGACGATAATGACAACCAGAATGCCTGACAAATGCTTGACAAAAAAAGGCTTATGGTCAGAAATGGCACCACCAAGCACGTGGTCATAAAGCCATGGTGTTTGAGATAATGAAATCTTTCTTCCCAGGCATCTGCAGATTGAAATCAGTATTTGGCTGCCTTTATGATACTCATCAAACTCCTGAGATTGCGAGGGAGGCATCTCTTATAGGATCTGATTATTGAGGACAAATATTTCTTTGCCCTTGGAGTCACAGCAGGTCTCTGAGTTATATGAGGCAGACCCTGCAGTATGAAATGGAACTGCAGAGGCTAAGGGAGACAACACTGAACATTAGAGTCAACATCCAAGCAATGGCTCAATAAAGGTATCCAAGGTTGCGTTGTGCACTCATAGAGAGATATAGTACAGGAGCTCATGGTCCACTGTTAACAGGAGATGGACTATGAATATTTTTCATTTTTCAAGTGCCTCAAGTCACGCTTTATAATTGGTTTTCTACTAAGTTGTCTGTTGTGTGTGGAAACAAAACTGTTTCATCCCTTGAGTTAGGTGCCTTTTTATGCTTAAATGATTTACAGAAACATTCCTCTGGATATAAAAGAAAAAAATCAAAGGCTAAACTGAAAAAGTTAGTGAAAAAGCAGCCAATGTCTAAGGAAAAACTTTGAAAGCCTAAAGCCCGAGACTACTTAAAAACACAGAAATTGCAAAGAAATCTAGTCCTTGTAAGCAAAATATAAATAAATAAAGAATGACTCAAATCTGTACTGTATATAATTAATGAGTAATCTATATCAAGTATTCATAGTGCTAAGATTTGAATGTAATACTGGACAGTATTGCCGGCCATACTGTGTTGTGTGACAAGCATCTGTCCATTGTCGTTACCTTATTTGAACTTATTTTAATATTGTGTATTGCTCAGAAGTGGATGAACTGTGGAATTATAAACAGCTTAAAACCTATTTAAAAGAATTTTTTTCATGTAAAAAAAAATGAGATCAGTAAAACTCAATACAATGATGTAGAGGATATTTTCTACCACTGTCTGGTTAGAGATTAGCAGCATTCATGGAAGATATATGAATAAATACACAAAATATGATAAATAAATAAATTAAAACCTCTGTGTGTAAGCAGGTCTCTCCCTCCCCAACAGGAATTCAGTTATTTATGGAAAATCTGTAGGAGGGAGTCACTGGTTCAGACAAGGACAAATTAAAGGATCCCTCTGGGCTTAGTGTCTTTGGATGTTTCTTTACTACCAGATGTTTCAACACCCACTCACAGCTGAATTGGGTCTCTGTCAGTCTTTCAGTTCACCTGTCAACTATGCAGATAATTCGATGATCAAAATAAACATCTAGCCAAAAGGTTTCTTAAACTCTGTTTTGCCTTGAAGTTTACTCCTAAATTGCTGCTGGTAAGCCTTATGGTATATTTCTCCCCGGGTATTATTTAGTGTCCCCTGCAACCTGGCGTGTCAATTGATGTGTCAGAGGGATGTGATATAGCATCCAGACAGAAAACATAATTACCCATCAGTTGTGACAGCAATCTTGATATGATAAGTTGGCTTATTTGCAAAGGCCTTATTTGTCAGCAAGCCTTCATAATTACTGAATGTGCATGAGTACACCGCAAATAAATGTTCAATACTTGATTAATTTCTGTGTGGATGAATTAAAAGCACTTGGAGAAAGAGCTAAGTTGCCATGTTTTTCTTTTTCGGTATAGAAAACTAAGATTAGCTAACAGCACTTAGAGGGCTAAATTTGAACAGTATGATATCATAAAAACATAAGGATGTATAAAAAATGTCAGTTTTTACGTCAATGTTTTTATGATACATAACTATCTGATTAAAAAAAACAAAGTCCATATTCATCCGTGACCATTTCTTCCAGTTCTTGGACTAGAAAATAAAACTACACACCAAAAGCAGACAGGCGTGCCAGCATGCTAAAACACCATGCTATGTCTCTGACTGCAGGACCAAACTTGAACATTTAATATTTTACAAGGAAGCCACCACAGAAGCCAATAGCTAGCATAAAAGGAGTTCATTTGCCGTCATGCAGATTATGGGCAGACAGCGGTTTATGTGGTACTACCAATTTCAGGCTGGATTAATTATGCCATTAGAAGGGGGTAAATAAATAGTTTTAATAGCAGGGAGAGCCCAGGGCCTGTCAGCGAATTAATATATTCCTCTAGCAGAGCATGACCACCATCCAACATCTGCAACAAAAGTCAGTCATGTTTACCAGCTGTTGTATAAACAATGCAGACAGCAGGGAATATTAATTGCATGCATGTCAGGGATGCCTGACACTACCATCTTCGTTAACTGTTTAGTTGGGGGATAAAGTGAAACAATTTGTGATGAGGAAGTCAATTTTTGCTTTGTCAGGAAAGGTCAAAACAATTCAGAGACCTCAATCATCTCAACATTTCAGGACATGAAGATTCTATATGCATTTGACATTTCACTAAACGCAACACAAAAAGTCATAAAGGAACATGTAAACTGAATTAGCACTTAGAGGATTTTACAAAACAGATGAACTGAAATATTTAGGTGTGGGTATAG